CTCGAGCGTCACGCGGGGCTCGAGGGTCACGCGAGACTCGAGGGTCACGTGGGGCTCCGGGGTCACGTGGGGCTCGAGCGTCACGCGGGGCTCGAGGGTCACGCGAGACTCGAGGGTCACGTGGGGCTCCGGGGTCACGTGGGGCTCGAGGGTCACGCGAGACTCGAGGGTCACGTGGGGCTCGGGGGTCACGCGGGGCTCCGGGGTCACGTGGGGCTCGAGAGTCACGCGGGGCTCTAGGGTCACGTGGGGCTCCAGGGTCACGTGGGGTTCGAGGGTCACGCGGGATTCGAGGGTCACGTGGGGCTCGCTGGCCTTGCCAGCATCACGCGGACACATGGACCCGTTTGTATAAAACGCTCTTCTTAAGTAACTAACCCTTCCACAACAACAACAACAGCGAGTGTCAGTATCAGTTCAACAAGTATCAGTTCAAAGTGAAAGCTCTTTTAAGACGCCGCGATTCTTTGGTTACAGGTGCAGAGACCCCCAATCCCCCCCCCCCCCACCGAGCGGTGGAGGGTGGGGGTTGGGGGTCTCCGTGCCCCCTCCACCGCGGGGTGCGAGGAGCGGCGCCCTTGTGGGGGTCCTCACAACCCCGGGGGTCGGGGCCTCGACTCGCGAACACAGCTACGCACACAGCACGCGCTCCACAGCACAGCACGGCGAACACCTGTGTACACACACGCGCACGAGTGTGTAACACAGCGGAGTGTGCGTACACACACACACACTTCGGCGTGTGTGTGCACACACAACCAGGGTGTACGCACACTGCGGTGCACAGACCCTTGTACAGCTATGCGTTACACGCACCCGTCTGCACACATTTGTGTACACTCTCACACACACACGACTCTATTCAGTACACACACACCTGTGTACACACACGACTCTATTCAGTACGTACACACACACACCTGTGTACACACACACAGACCCGTACATTGGCGTACACACGCCTCTTGACATACACCTCCTTACACACACAGCTGTTTACATAAACACAGGTGTACACACACACACACCGGTATACACACACACGTACACACACGTGTACACACACACACCGGTATACACACGTATTGGTGTACACACACACACACCGGTATACACACTTATTGGAGTACACACACAGACCTGTGTAAATACACACCTGTGTATACAAACACATTGGTACACGTAATAACATGAACCCGTGTACACACACACGTACACACACGTGCACACATACACGGGTACACACACACGTACACACACGTGCACACACACGCGTGTACGCACACACGTGTACACACATACACACACACGTGTACACACACGTGTACACACACGTGTACACACACACACACGTGTACACACACACACATGCACACCCATGAGGTATATCCGAGAGCCCGGTAAAGTGACAGAGCGCGAACCGCATCTCTCCCGGCCAGGCGACACCCACGGGAGGGATGAGGAGGGGGTCCCTAGCAGGGTCCCTAGCGGGGTCCCAGTGGGGTCCCTTAGTGCTCTTCCCAGCAGGGATTATCGAGGGGTCTCCTCAGGATCCGAAGGAGGTCCTTAGCTTGGTCCTAGCGGGGATCAAAGGGCGGGGTTTATATTGGGGTTCCTAAGGATTCTAACGGGGGTTCCTAGGGGGTTCCTAGGGGGTTCCTAGGGGGTACCTTTCTGACCCCGCCACTCCCACCAGGGGACCCGGTCCCCGAAGCCGGCGACTCATCCGCTGCGCCTCGGTTGAAGAGCCCGCGGATCGGCATGTTGCGATTCGATGACTCGATCCACGGATAAAATCGATTCTAACCATTCCGATATTGCATTTAATCCTCACGCATGAGAATCTGTTAAGACGGAGCAACCACAACGATTCCAGTTCGGAGGGGGGGGGGTCCTCCAACCCCCCCCTCATTCTTCCTAACGCCTCTTGCCTCCATAGATCCGCTCGAGCCAATCAGAGCCGTCATCCTGGCCTCTTCCTCCTCCTCGTGGCCAGGGCGAACATCAGTGGCGAGTGGATGCTGGAGTGGTCATGCACCTCGCCCCCCCCTTTCCTTCGCCAAACCCGCACTGACCACCGTGGTGAAGTATGGTCACACGACCCCCCCGGTGGCGCCTGACGCGCCGTGGGGAGGCCTTCCTCCAGCAGAGCAGAGCGGGGCTGCCGGTCGTCGTCGTCAGTGCCACGCTGCCCCCCCCCCCCCTGCCACTCGCGCCGCTCAGGAGGGTGCTGCCGCCACTACACTCGTGGGGGGGGGGGTCTCTTCGTTCGCTGTGTTCATCAGCCCCCATTAGTGGCGAGTCGTGATTATTATCACGTGGGAGGAGGCAAACCGGAGCGCCCGGAGAAATACCCACCACGCCTTGCGCGAGGGGACAACACTCTATTCCCCCCTCCTCCTCCCCACCCCGTACAGATGGAAATAGATGGAGGTTATTGCACTTGCTGTACTGCCTTCTCTTGGCATGTCAGGGTATGGGCACCACCTCCCCCCCCCCACGGGGAAGTGAGTTGGAACAAATGGCGATGAGTCCACTTGCTCAGCCACCGCCTTGTTCTGGCGAGCCAGGGTACATGGCTCCTCCTCGACACGCATCTGCGTGTGATCCATCAACCCTCGCTGCTGCTGCTGCTGCCTCCACGCCTCTGGGCGGGACGCTGCTGCTGCCACGGCGGAGGTGGTCGTGGTGAGCACCCTGCGCGCAACCTCCCGGCGCGGCAGGTGCCAGAGAGTCCTCGGAGTACCCCCCCACCCCCGTGTCCGGGAGCGACCACAGTCGGTGGTGTGGTGGTCACCATCGGCAGCAAGTCGCGTGCGGTGGTGTAAAGTGTCGGGTTCGCCCACCTCGTCTACGACGTGCCGGCCAGCGTGGAAGGTTACTGGCGAAACGTCGGACTCGTAATTGTAAATGTTGCAGTAGGTTTACTCTCCAACGCACACGCGGTGTGCTGCTGAACTAATGACGAATTGGCACGTTTTGTTTACGTGACAAACCTCACTAATTGGCTGTGTCGGCCGTGGCGGTTTTAACGACGCATTTAAATTCACGCGATCGAACCCACACATCTCCATCACGGATAGTATTGGTCGCGAAAGCCTCCGTGCTAAACCAGCGTGGACGAGTAGGCCAAATACCCTTTAGATTTGGGGGGGGAGGGGCTCTCTACAATTCTCTCTAATGGAGGCTTTTTCGCCAGCAGGGGCGTGAGCGAGACATTGCAGGGCTGCGCCTTTGAAGTCACGAGGCGGAGGGTTGGGAGTGGGGGGGGCTGTGGGTAGCGGGGGCCACGGCGCTTGGGCCGAGCCGGGCGCGTGGAGGCGGCGGGGACGTCGCTTTGGTTCCAACATCGACGGCGGCAGCGCCACTTCCACCCACGCGGTGGCTCCACCTGGGAGCTCCTCCTTCACGCTGGCCGCTCACTCAAGGCACTGGTCGCCCTCCTCTCCACCACCGTCGCGCGAGGCTGCGGGTTCGCGCTCCGTCCCTGCGGCCGGAGCTGCGCTCGCTCGCTCGGCTCCACCCACCCGCGCCCCACCCTCCTGTCCAGGCACCGCTCCCCTCGCCGCTGTCGCTCCCTGGGCTTCTCCCTTCCATCGACACCGCCGCAATCCTTGGATCCCTGCCTCCCTGCCTCGCTCCCCCGGCGAGGAGGAGGAGGATGGACGGCTCACCACTCATCGCTACGTCTCTGGTGACTCCCGATAGTGCGCGTGGCTCGGATGAATGATCCCACCCCCTACGATTGTTGTTCGGGGGGGGGGGGGGGGTGATGCAGGGTGGAGATGAAAGAGTCGAGAAGAAGCGAGAGAGGCTGCAGGAGATGTGACGCACACAGATCGCCACCCCGCCCGAGGTGGCGCGTCCTGAGGATCGAGCCCAGGCCGCGTCGCCTCGCGGGCTACGGGGAGACACTGACGACGATGATGAGGGGGGTGACGATGATGATGAGGGGTGACGATGATGATGATGAGGGGTGACGATGATGATGATGAGGGGTGACACTGATGATGATGAGGGGGGGGTGACACTGATGATGAGGGGTGACACATGATGAGGGGGGGTGACACTGATGATGATGATGAGGGGGGGGGTGACACTGATGATGAGGGGTGACACATGATGAGGGGGGTGACACTGATGATGATGATGAGGGGGGGGTGACACTGATGATGAGGGGTGACACATGATGAGGGGGGGTGACACTGATGATGAGGGGGGGTGACGCTGATGATGATGAGGGGGGTGACGCTGATGATGATGAGGGGGGGTGACGCTGACGATGAGGGGTGACGCTGAGCGTCATCAGAGCCATCGGCTAGCAGGGGGGGTAAATCATCGTCAACAAACAACAACAACAACAACACACACAGCCACCCGACGGGACGCCGAGGCGACATCGCCGCATCGGAGGAGGCGTGAGGGTGACGCCTCACAACAACGAACAAACCAAATACTAATAATAAATAATGCGTAATTATACATCGCAACAATAATATTAATACTGCCAGAACGATGGTGGGAAGCGCTTTCAACTCATCTCCCCTCGTCCAGGACCTCCCCCCGCCCCTCCCCCCGCCCGCCGTGGTGGGGGGCCCGAGTCCTCCGCAGCCCCCCCCCCCCCCGCATCACGGAGCTCCCGAGGCAGGAGTCGAGGTGGCGCTCTCAACGTAGACGCAGCTTTGAGAATGAGCGCCCTGGAGGAGTGGAGGGGGGGGGGGCTCCCAAAGGGAGGGGGTGGTTAAGGTGCTACTAAGACCCGTGATGATCGCCCTTCTTCTCGTGTTCAATTTTGAGGTTTTCAATGTTTTTTGGGTTTTTTTTCCTTTGAAGAAAAAAAATCCATCTTTGGTTTCGTTTGCAACACAATGTTCTTGTGTCAGGGGGGCGGGGAGTGGGGGGAGTGCGGGGGGAGGGGTGGGGGCTAGAGGGGAGGGAGGGGTGGGGGCTAGATGGGAGTGCGGGGGGGGGGCGTCTCAGGTGGAGTTACGGTGGGGGGCGGGAGGGGTGCGGCTGCTCTTCACGAGGTCGTCGGCGCAGGCGAAGACTCATCGCCATCGGTCCCTTCGCCTCCTTCCGTTCACATCATCTCCCCTGCGCCGCCCCCTCCCTCTCGCCACTGCCGATCTCACGTCACGCCGCTCCGCACACTCCCTCAAGCCTTGCTGCCGCCGCCGCCGCAGGACGCCGCGGAGGAAGACGAAGGCGGCTGCTGCTGGGAGGAGGAGGCTCCCGCCCCCCCTGACGAGGCGGCCCCCCCCAGCAACCCCCCGCCCTCGTCCTGCCACTTGTCGAGGCTGCGGCGCCGCGCGTTCATGAAGAAGTTGCTGACCGTGGTGAGCTCCAGGCCCAGCTGCTGGGCGATGGTCACCTGCATCTCCTTGGAGGGCCGGCGGTTCTCCTTGAAGATGGCGAGCAGCGTGCGCCTCTGCACGTCGGTAAAGACGAGGCGCGGTTTCTTGGGCTGCGAGGCGCCGCTGTCGCGGCCCTGCTCCTGCTCCTTGCGCTTACAGGCTGCGCGCGCGCGCGTGGTGATGATGGTGGTGGTGGCACACGCGGGACACGTGGAACAAGTGGAGTAGGCGGTACACGTGGGACACGCGGTGTACGCAGAACGCCGAATGAAACATGGCACGTGCAGTACACACGTGCAGCACACACATGCAGAACAGATAGCATGCACACAACGCACGCGCAGTGCACACACAGTACACACGATACACACAGCGCACACACGGTATGTATTATACACGCAGCACATATGGAACACGCAGTGAACACGCAGACCAGCACAGGACCGTACGCCACGGTACAGCACACGCAGCACACACGGGGCACAGCACACACACAGCACACACACAGCACACACGCGGCACACACGCAGCACACACAGCACACACGCAGCACAGACGCGGCACACACGCAGCACACACAGCACACAAGCGGCACACACGCGGCACATACAGCACACACACAGCACACACAGCACACACACGGCACAGCACACGCACAGAACACACGGGGCACAGCACACGCACAGAACACACGGGGCACAGCACACGCACAGCACACACGCACAGCATCACCACAGCGTTAGTACACAGGCTGCAGGTCACAGCGCAACCAGTGAGTACGCAGTCCGGCGCGACACCGTACACGCAGTACACACGTGAGTACACACGTGAATACACACGCAGTACACGCGACAAGTCTTGCAGCACACACTGACCGCGCCCCCACCCCCCCACTCGTGACAATCCATTGCTGGATGACGGCCTCCCTATGCCTTAGTTACGGGAGGTTGTTTGACCATACTTCACCACGCTGGTCATCGTGGGTTAGTGAAGTGGGGGGGGGGGGGTATCCAGCAGCGGTTCGGACATCTCTCGTCGCCACTGTTGTTAGCCGTGGCCAGGAACTCAACTCATAGACGCCTCAAAGACAAAGACCCCCCGTGTAGCCTTAACATACTCTTGGGGAAAGTGCTGTTAGCGAGTAGCAACACCTATAGAGGCCGGGACGGCACATGAGGGGGTGGGTGGCCAGCACCATGCTCGGCCACCTTTGTCTCCCCAGTGACGATGTTTACACACCGCAACAGGTACTCATTTGAGGCTGAGTCGACTTCGGGGGGGCCCAGAACCGCTTCAGATATTCGCCACTGGTGTTGGTGGCCGTGAGCGGGAATCGAATTCGGATCGCCGGGTTTGTAGCGCAGCGCGCTAACCGCTGCGCCACCGCTCTCCAACGCATGGTCTCCACACACGCACTACCCGCGGTATCTCCCAGCCAACGCCAACGCGTGGCCTTGAAGTGGAAAACAAACCTCATAGAGGCGATGTTTCAGGCAAAGGCCCTCCTTCGTGGCACGTCGGGGTTATGTGTGCCTGTGCACCCCGCTGACAACCCCCAATCGTCTCATCATCCACCACGCACTGCAAGCCAACACAACTCACCCCGACTCACCCGCCCACGCACCCGCTCACTCACTCAGCCGCTTGTCCACTCACTCAGCTACTCACCCGCTCACTCACCCGCTTGTCCACTCACTCAGCTACTCACCCGTTCGCTCGCTCACTCACCCGCTTGTCCCACTCCGCTACTCACTCGCTCACTCACTCACCCGCTTGTCCACTCACTCAGCTACTCACCCGCTCACTCTCTCACCCGCTTGTCCACTCGCTCAGCTACTCCCTCGCTCGCTCACCCGCTTGTCCACTCACTCAGCTACTCACTCACTCACCCGCTTGTCCACTCACTCAGCTACTCACCCGCTCACTCTCTCACCCGCTTGTCCACTCACTCAGCTACTCCCTCGCTCGCTCACCCGCTTGTCCACTCACTCAGCTACTCACTCACTCACCCGCTTGTCCACTCACTCAGCTACTCACCCGTTCGCTCGCTCACTCACCCGCTTGTCCCACTCCGCTACTCACTCGCTCACTCACTCACCCGCTTGTCCACTCACTCAGCTACTCACCCGCTCACTCACTCACCCGCTCACTCACTCACCCGCTTGTCCACTCACTCAGCTACTCACCCGCTCACTCACTCACTCACCCGCTTGTCCACTCACTCACCCGCTCACTCACTCACCCGCTTGTCCACTCACTCAGCTACTCACCCGCTCACTCACTCATTCGCCGCACTCAGGGGAGATGTTTTGCTGGTCGCTGTTACCCCACGTGGTGTCACTTTTCTCGGTTCCAATTCCTATATGCGCCCGATACTAATGAATTATGTGAAATATGTTTCAAATGAGCCGGGATATCAGATCATTCGCTCTTTGTCAGCCCTATAAATAAACAGGCACTGCTGTAGTGTTGATACCCAAGGCGGTACCGAATTCTGCTCTGGCCCATGGACTGTCATCACACAGCAGCTCACAACACTCGCTCACAAACTCACTCATTCCTCACTCACCACACGGCAGTCCACAACAAGACCACAGTAACAGCTCACACCAACACTCACCACGGTACAGGGGACAATAACTCTTACTCACAAACTCACTCATTCCTCACTCACCACACGGCAGTCCACAACAACAACACAGTACAGCTTACGTCAACACTCACTCACCACAGTGCAGGGCAGAGCAACGCTCACTCACAAACCTACTCATTCACTCGCCCACGAAGTCACTCATAAACGGACTCAGTCACTCACTCACCAACACTGCAGCTCACAACAACAACAATAATCTCCGTTCGCCACCCAGTGGCGGTGACGTCACCATGACGCTTGTGCCAGGCTAGGTACACTCTGAGGCCAGGTGAAATGTCAAAGGCTCCCTGACAGGAGGTCACGGGACAGACCCAGGTGCCCCATGGGTTGACTGTCTGTAAGGTCGAGTCGAGTTTTGTTGACACCCGTAGCGCCTTTCTGGCACAAATATGCCACTCAATGCACCACCATGGCATTCAAACCTTACCCCATGAACATCGGACAAGTCTATACAATGAGAAAAAATAGATATACTTTTACTATCTATAGTTATTTAAAATATAAAAACAAAACCAAGTTGTGGCTATGAGTTAATTGCCAGTTATCTCAGTCCAAGATGTTAAATAGTGTACGGGACAGAGGACATCCTTGTTGCACTCCAAGGTGAACAGAAAATGTCTCCGACTCCCGGTCACACAGCTTTATCCGGGCCTGCCCACCACCACCACGTGTGCACTGTGCGTTTAACTTATTTCGCACCGTACGTAGAAAACCGTGCTCATGGGAGGTGCGGGTGTAGGACAATAAACCAAACACAAAAAGCAGTTTTAAAGAAATTAATTTTCAAATCGAGATTTAAAAGCGCATAGCTCCAGTGGCTTCCTAATGTCGGAAGGAAGAACCTTCCAGACGGCCGCAGACGCGCATCTGAAAGCGCGATGCAGTGGCCATCTTTGTTCGATGGCTCGCCAAAAGCCGCTGCGAGGATGACCGGAGTTCACGTTGACGAGATCAGCAAGGTATTGTGGTTCATTTGTGGCAAGCACTGTGTGTGTACTGAGTCCAACCTCATAATGTATTCGTGAAGGTCCTTAATGATTGTGAGCAGAGGATCTGGGACTCCAAATGCACGTCCGCTGTCGCAGACGGACGAAGGAAATGGTGCCCCGGTGTGAAACCCACATTGGGGCTCAACAAGCCTCTCCTCAGAATTCCTAGCGAGGCAATTTTGAATGCCCCGGTAGTTGTTGCAATCAGTGCGGTGCCCCCTATTAAAAATGGGGAACACAAGGGGGCATCCTTCCAATGCTGTCCTGGTTCACAGAACCCGTCCTGTGGAGCGGACGGTTGTAACAGAACTACGTGGTGGAAAAATGTGTTAAATCATGTAGGAGCTAGATGACATCCCTGTCGCACCCCAAGGTGAACGGGGAATGATTCTGACTCCCAATCATGGAGCTTTACCCTGGCTAGCCCACCATCATGGAGATCATTAATGATTGTGAGCAGAGTCAGGGACTCCGAAAGCACGACGAACAACCCAGAACCCTGGCCTATTGATGGGAAATCCGCACATCCGTACGGTGCGAAAGATCAACATACACACGTATAACACACGTATCATTGGCCTTGACCAGGTTAATAATGGCCTGAAACCACACGGGGTGCTCGACAAGCCTCTCCTCAACGTGCCTGGCAAGGTCATCTTCTTGGTTCTTTCGGTAAAGTCACGTAGAATGGAAATAATAAAATAATAACATAAAACATTATAAAATAATTCTGCTTGCGTTGTGGCCGAAACGTCGTGAGAATGATTTTATTATGTTTTACTTTATTATTTTATTATTTCCATTCTACGTGACTTTACCGAAAGAACCAAGAGGATGAATCCCTGCAGTCACGAATGGCAAGGTGATGTTGAATAATCCTTGCCAGAACCTTTCCCGGCACACCGAAGAAGATGTCCCTGTAGTCGTTACAGTCTGTGCGTTCCCCGCCAGACACGCACACAGAAATACGCACACAGACACGCAGACACGCAGAGACTAATCCCCATATTGCCTTAACAGACTGTAGGAGCAATGAGCAAGTGCTGTTAGCAAGCACCTTTGTAGGTCGCAAGGCCAACACCACGCTCGACCGCCTTTGTCTCCCCAGTGGCGATGTTTACATACCGCGCCAGTTACTAATTTGAGGTTGCGTCGACCTAGGGGAGACCCAGGACCGGTTCAGATAATCGTCACTGGGGTCGACCGTGAGCGGGAATCGAACCCGGATCGCCGGGTTCGTAGCACATCGCGCTAACCGCTACGCCACTGCTCTCTACACACAAACACACACGGACACGCGCACACACACAAAGACAAATATCCCCCGTATAGCCTTAATATACTGTTAGGACAAGTGCTGTTAGCGAGCACCTATAAAGGCCGGCACGGCACACGAGGGGGTGGGTGGCCAGCACCACGCCGGGCCGCCTTTGTCTCCCCAGTGGCGATGTTTACACACCGCACCAGGTACTGAATTGAGGCTAAGTCAACCTACACAGACACACAGACAGACACGCA